TTGCACTTATCCACAACTAGTATGTTATGAAGATATTCATGACGATATTTATTTATTTTATTTAATCAACAAAAATGATCCGTCACAGCAACAATTCGATCCGAACAAAAATTACACATGTATTTTATTGTACAATACAAAACAATAAAATACCATTAAAACTAACTTTCCTTTATTTTTTCAAAACACATAAAACAATTACACAACCATAATCTATGTATTACATAAGCGTTAATAGAAAAGACAAAGAGTAACATTAAAAATTTCATCATACCATACCACCAAATTACAATGATGTATGTAAAAAAATCAACCTTAGAATAATTAGTTAAAGCCAATTTAAAGATTTTTTCGATTAAAAGACTGTAAGTAAAAATGTCATTAAATCAAAACAAATTAATTCTCTGGCAATTTGCCTTTTAAATGCTACGATTTAGATCTGTTATTCAGTGTGGCAACAAAGCAGTTGTTTTTATTGATGAGTATTTAAATGCACAGGCTTTAGGTTGTCATTGAATGACTTTAAAAATAAAAATATACGTAATGGAATAATTTTTTACCAGGAAAAATAGATTAGTAGTTGGTAGATTTTACAAGAGAGTTTTTTTAGGGCATTGTGATTATAAAACATACATTTACTTAAAATTTAAATAAATACTGAATTTGATTTAAATTAAATAGATCTTGTACATAGGAAATCTCCAACTCATCGCTACAATATATCACACCTTGTTGACGAGGAATGCCGAACTCCTCGATTGTTAAGGTCACGCTTGAGATGAAATGTAAAACATTCCCTTTATTAGTACTTAATACGATCACCCTTTGATTCGATGAATAGGAGTCACTCAAGAAATCGTTAATCAAACGATATTGGGTACGAATCAGGTAGTTCTTTTGTGTGATCGATGGCGGTAAGCTTTGCATCCATGATTTATAGGCCGACATCATTTTTAGGTTTTGGTACTGACGAGGTCTATTCCCTCAATTACCAAGTGGAAGCTAAGAGCTACTAATGTAAGTTACTCTTATGATCAATATCCAATGCCGATTAAGCATGATAGGCAGAAATTTGGATGCAGACTCAAACCTTATCGTCGTACGCAAACATTTTTAATATAAACTCCCATTATAAATCGGTTTTGATGTTAATTATGTGTACTGACATTAAGTATGACTAATCTATTAATCAGAATTATGTACGTTTGCCACCAATTTTATGAGAATTATAGAATTTCGTTTGATAATTGAAAATTATTGCTCTTTCAGCAACAAATCAAAGTTACATAAAAATTAGCATTTATCCCAGGAATAGGTACGCGAAGCTGTTACTTTAATCCTCTACTAGTTTATGGGCGAAAAGCGGCAGTTCTGTTTTTTACTATAATATCAATGAGGCTTTATATTTATAAAGTTCATACTTTTATATTTAATAGATTTGTATTGATAGTCGTACAGGTCAGAAATGCTAGTGTTTGTTTATATTTACTGTACTTGATATGACAATCCCACACTACTGATGCGGAACTCTATAACAATACAGATGACACTTTTCCCATAATCATCACATCACGATCAGCGATGCCACCCTCCAGTCCCACGTTGTTCCGCATCTCTATCATTTGTTTTACTTAATTGTTTTATTTGCTGCAAATAATCATCGAAACAACCCCGGAATGTTAGACAATTTCCGGTATTTAAAAGCAAAATTAAAACATGTAAGGGTAAGCACAATTTATTGAAACAAATTACATTTTTTATTAATTATTATTATAATTTAAATATAAATTATAATCGCTTATTTTTGCGGCTTCGGTGACTTGAAAGTATTTTTTCATTCCTCAGGATTTTGTTTTCTGGATGGATGATGACCGGGTGGATGGTACGTCAGCGCATAAAATACAAAGACGAAAACCAAACTAACAGTGGACTATTAAACGCTGTGTCTATCTCTGATCATTGCAGTTACACACTGAAGGTGTACACACCTACACCCTCAGTATTATTTAATAAGCAAAATTTCTTTTGAAACATGAAACAAATAATTTCGTTGCAAATTAGATATAAAAAATGCAATTATTTCAAGACGAAAAAAAATCCATACACACAATCAATACATGAAAGTTATTCTATTTATTAATCGTTTTTAAATAATATACCTATATCGAAATATGTATAAGCTCTACTTCGTACAATCATAAATAGAGCACAATATTTGTGTTAATTGAGAACCAGTTTCGTGGGTGGTGAGATGAAACATGGGGTATCCACCCTCACAAAACGCCAACACAATGACTTGAATTATCCCCGCATTCTTATTAGACGTGTTACAAGACTCTTAACATGTTACTTAGGCTCATTGTTAGTAACTTAACGACATCATTGAACGCTAATAACACTACATTCTTCCTTTGTACGGGATGAATGTAGTTTTATGAACATATAAATAACCTTATTGATAATCAGCTATTAAATTTTGACATAAATGAAGCGACACTTGTTCATAATAAATTAAAAATTCATACAAATATAAAAATGTATGCGTGTCTTTTAATATAAATTAGCAAAATGTTTTTTTTATTTTATTTTTAAAGATAGATAACCGTTAATAGTTACATATCTTTACCAGAGCATAAAGAAATATACCATCGAACGAAATGAATCGAAAATGTATAAACGCCTCTAATAAGCGGAATATAAAATCTATTTTAACTAACAATAATAGTGGTCAGAATACTCCTCGTTGGGTAACACATAAAGTGGCATAAAATAAAAATGCTTCTGTAATCACACACATAATATTTCACAATTCACTATCCAATGTCAATACGATAACGGTTGTGTAGCACTCTATAAGATTTATCAACTTATTTGTTCAGAAGTTAAATGGATTGAATATGTATGTATTATATTTGTTTGCCAAGACGTCATTCGATATTAATCATATTGTACCTAGTTAAATATCAGTAGGGGTTCTTTTAACTTGATTGTTTTTCATTTAACCCTCTGGCACCCTACAGTACCCTAACGGGATTATAGCGATATATCGATAACTCATAATCATCAAAATAAAAAAATAAAAAGTTATTTACGGAACCCATTAGCACCTCCCCGCAGGTCATATCCGGTACAAAATCACAGGGTTCAACCCCACAAGATGACTGGCCACTGGCTTATGGCTTATTACTAAAGTTAATTATATCTAGGAAGTGATAAGATTTAGTAAAAAGTTCACTTACTTAGCTAATATCATTGAAGAAAACTGATTCTGCTTTTTTCATCATTTAAAATCGGACAATTAAAATTAAAAAATGGAACGTAATATATATCGCCTGATTTAACACAACAGTTTACGACAAAAAATTAGAAAACCACCATAAAAAAATGTGATATGACGGCACTAATAAAAGTTAAGGTATGTTACAATTCACTAATGAAAACAAATACCTAACGTAGGAACAGCCATATCGATTCAATTAGTAAACTTAATAGAATGAGAGTTATTCAATTCACGCAATCATCCTGACGGTAGTCGGCGATGTAATCAAAGCATCATCCTAATAAAACAAAGTTTAAGAAGTTCAGTTCATAGCGTGTTTGAAATCTAATTGATGACGGGTTTAGTTGAGCAAACACCGTTGGCTGTCACAAGGGCGGCTACTCTCACACGAAAAGTATTGGCATATTTTAAATGAAGAAAATATGTACATGTATCATGAACTTTCGAATGATCAAACATGTCGTAGAAGCATTTAATTTTTTTTAATGCTAGTTTCTGGAATGCTATGCTATGTTATGGTACGTTGTAAATTTGTAGTAGAACTAACATCGAGCCAAGGTGTTTAACTGTCTAAAAAATAATTATAATGAAATGGGCGATAGGTTATAGGAATTTACATAGTGCTGTGTTTTGTGAATGTGTAACTATGGTAGTAATGAAGAATACTTGTAAAAGTATGAAAGTGCTTTTTTTTTATTTGGCTTAAAGCTTTAGACTAAAATTTTCTTTTTACGCTTTTTGGGCATTGTCTAGTAATATTAAGTTAATAATCATCTTTCTACAAAATGAAAATGTGCTAATATTTTACACTAGTCAGTGCCACTCTATGTAAATTTTACAATATTAATCAAGGCATTTTTAATTAAGATGCTAAGGCACTCAAATGTCTCTAAATGCACAAACAGTATGTAATAACTTAACTTCATCATATTAACATTATGATCATCGAATACCAATTTCAGGAAATGTTTCCACTAACGTGCAATATCAAAGTATTTTGTCGATTATGAACGATAAAAACAAATAAAAAATTTATACAGCGGGTTGAGTCTTTATAGGAAAAATCTTTAAATTCAAAGACTCAAAGAGATCGAGATAGATAAAACTGATGTGAATTCTTAAGACGACTGATTTATTTTAAATGTAAGAACATTGATACGCCAATTATGTGACAATATCTCTGTAATAAATAAATAAATCTCTTCGTCGGTTTTGTCGGTGGAGTGATAACTCTTTATTGATATAGAAATTTATAATCCTACTTGTTACCTTAATTTTTTTTGTATAAAATACATTTATAATTCAATATTGACTAAAACTGTTGCTATACTACATGGACACCTAAGTTAGAATTTTTGATTTTACAGTATTCAGTGGTCAACAAAAAACTGGGCACGCGTTAACTACTCCGCGCCCCTCTCGCCGCTTTTAAACCACTATACCAGGTACCGACCCGCACGCATAAGGGGAAGGGATGATCGAAAATAATAGGGGAAGAGAATTTTAAAATTTATATTTTTTGCAGCCGGCGCAGGTGATATAACGCAAGCGCGTGCGCCGGCGGCTCACTTGTACATGCAACTTCACCGCCGCCGCTCGCGCTCGTCTCTTCAACCGTAAGCTCCCACGAAGCCTTCCCCTATCGCGCAGTGCTTTTCATATAGCCGCGCCGACCGGTCGTACTTATCTGTTGTGAACGTTCGCGCCGCGCATACGTAAAATGCTACAAGAAATTCAACTCGTTCAAGGTCAGACGAACTATGTGGTTGTCGCGTCAGGATATCCTTCTAGTACATTAACTAAAACGCTCGTAGAAAAAAGAAATGTGGCCATTGCTCCTGCTCCCGAGAAAAACTACGTTACACATGATACGCCGCCAAATCTACAATACAGAAAAAAGGTGCACTTCAAGACAAACCCTTACACCGGACCCCAGGCAGCATCCATCGCAAGACGTAATGCGCGAGAACGTAACCGTGTCAAGCAAGTGAATGATGGATTCAATGCACTCCGCCGTCACCTGCCCGCGTCCGTTGTAGCTGCATTATCAGGTGGCGCTAGACGTGGCTCCGGTAAAAAACTTAGCAAAGTGGATACACTAAGAATGGTCGTCGAATACATAAGATACCTGCAACAATTATTGGATGAAAGTGATGCAGCTTTAGGCATAACACGTGATCAGGAAAACCGAGAAAATATGCCAAATGGAAGCACATTACAACCAATGACATCAATGGATATGGATGATGGATTTTTTTATGGCAGTGGGTCTCCGTGTTCTGAAAAACCAGATTCTCCTGCACCTTCTGAGTGTTCGTCAGGCGTATCCTCGGCGTACTCGGCCGATCGGTACGAGGTTACATCACAACAACAACAACAACAACTCGGACCTATGGATGAGGACGAGTTATTAGACGTCATCTCATGGTGGCAGCAGAAATAACTGTTACGTAAGTTACTTGACACTCTTATCATCCTTCTTCTCAAATAATTTACCAAATTATTTTATTACAGATAATTTAATTCTTAATAACTACAAAGTTCATAGGAGCCATAACCTCGAAATATTCCTGTTACGATTAGTTCAAAAATAAATGTGTATTAAGGAAACAAACTAATTATTATTTTATGTTTTACAGATCCAAGCACGAAATTGCACAGTGGACGAAACCCGCCGAGAACGATACTATTATTTATTTGTAGTGCATTAATCGTTTATACGAAAAGACTCTTTGTATATCTAGTCAAATCCGTTAGTGCCTTTATGTAGATTTAAGTCGTAGTATTTAGTGATCAGGTAATTTATCAAGTTTTGAGATTGAGATTTTTGATTGTCATTTTGTTTCTTTGATACATAAATTAAAATCAACATTCAGATTTGAGAATAGCGATAGCTTTTTTGCTTTTTTTGACTTAATTTGAAATTATTCGTAAGGTCTAAGTTAACACGTGTGGGTGCCTTATGTATGCCTTAGAAAAGATAATTTTAAATTGATTGTCTTAAAACTAGGTTAGGCATCAGTTACAGGAACATCTCAAGGTCAATAGTAAATGTTACCTATTACTTTAATTATCAATGCTTTGTAATAATCGCATTTGGTGTTTTCCGCCCAGTCGATAATATTTGTAAATATATTTAACTAGTTCTAAGTTATTATAGTAAGATATTAAAACTATTTATTGAATTTTAAAATTGTTATTTTATTGTTGTGAAAGTATTACCTTTAATCTTTTTTCTAATGATATTCGAATGTCCAGCAGTGGACTATTAAAGCCTGTTGATGATACCCTTTATAATAAGAAGGTGAGTATCGTCATCTATGGAGCTAGAACTATTTTTTTTCGAATATGAATCTGCGTAGTCAGTGATATAGATTTATTATAATTTATATATTATAGTCATCTATGGAGCTAGAACTATTTTTTTTCGAATATGAATCTGCGTAGTCAGTGATATAGATTTATTATAATTACTGGAACACTAAAGAAAACAACAGTATGGGGGGTAATAAATAAATATACATATAAGCATATTCTAATCTATTATTAGTAATAATAATATACTTATGATATCATTGTTTAAAATTCTTTAAAATAATTAAGATTAGATAGAATAGAATTAATCCTAATTGAATGAAGTTTTAAAAATTACAGTTAGCTCACATGAAAATCACAAAAAGCATATCATATACAAAGAATTATAAAAAATACGGATAATTTTAGGTTTAATAATGAAAGCAGTAGATTATAATCATATTTTAATGATATTGAAATCAACATATTAATATATTCATACACATGTTTATGAACACACTAAGTACATTATCTTACATAGTACCAGTAAATTTGTAAATTTTAATAACTATATTATTCTCCAACAACACTGACCAAATGCAAATTGTTCTCCTTGCAAATTCACCCATATCACATACGATGTAAGTATGCCTTTCTGTACATTTTTTACTGTATTTAAAAAGAAATCATCGCTGCCTCCAACCCAGATCAGTGTTCAGCGTAGATAACTAATCCCGAATAAACCGAGAAGAAAATCATTTCATAAATTTCTTTTTTCAGTATTTCTAGAGGTTATATCTAAAAAGGTTCTACTTTCATTTTTCTTTTAATTTTCACTTTTTGTTTTAAGTTACCGAAATAATTTGTATTATTTTGATTTTACTTTTTCACTCTTGCACATTTCAGAATAGTCATACAGGTACTAGTTTTATGTTAGCATTAGTATTAATACTTTATGTAAGAATCTAATGACAATAAGATGTAAATCATATACAAAATGTAACCAAGACCTAATTCTTTTTGTGCATTTTTTTTTAAATATTTTTTTTTATAGTTACTGTTCCATTGTTTTATAATAGCATCTGTAAGTAAATTTAAAAATTAAGAGATTGATACGCAGATGTGTCATCAAACATTGGGAAATACCTAATTTTCAAACTTCTCAAGTTATACTTAAAGGCGATTACCTCTTGTACTTTTCCTATGTTTTCATAGCTTTCTTTCCGGTTCTAATTGAGGTATGCGGTTCGTTTTGTCGCGGTCTAAAAACATTTCTCGGACCGCGCGCTATTACTTACATTTTTGTTAACTTAAATTAATTAAATTGGAGGGAAGACACGTGTGCCTTTTCAATTTAATTATGATACTAACTCTTTTAATTTACTTAGGAAATTCCTAAAAAACAAAAGTTAAATCAAGTTTATGCGGAGCTATGTCGGTTCTGATAAAGAAAAGTGTTGAAATAGTTTTTTTCTAAGTTATGGGTTGAAGAAAAAGAATAATAAAATAGTTTCCACAAATAAAAGCAAACATATTCTCAAACATTTCTCCCTGTATCACCTGTAAATTCGTATTCGCATATCATACTCTGTACTGTATACAATATGTGTGTGTGTGTGTGTGTAAAAGATGTCGGACACAGCTCATTTCTGCTCGAATTGGAGCCATCTGTGCAATAAGTACCAGCGACCTTCAAGTAACAACACACCAGTCACCCAATAGCAGCTTAGCCTCAAGCCGACGGGTCAGATGTGTGTTCGTTATTTAATTTTTTTTTATATTCAAAGCAATACTTATTTTGGGCAAATCTAGGAACGGAAATATCAGTAAACGTTATTTCTAACAGGTGTTCGCTTGTATCGTGTCGTCCCAACACTCGTTCGTTGCAACACTCCAGAAATAACGACCAATAATTTTATTGGTCAATATTTAAATTATAATTTTATTACGTACGTTTAATTAACTTTTAGATAAATTACTTCCTACATTATAACATACTTAGTTGGTGTCAATAGTCGATTTTTAACAATCATTTTGTTTTATACTCGAAAATGGCTATTTTTAAAGCTTTTTAGCACATTTATTATACTTTTATTTTACTTCCTACTGCAAGTAGACAATGGTTACTTAAACTCCAACTTTTCTAATTATTTACATAAAAATCGTTCTAAAGACAGAAAGAATGTTCTTAATTTAATTATACACAAATAATAACATACATTTTCATGAAAGTTGAAAGAAAGACAGAAAGTTAAACTTGACAAATGAGAGTACAATGGATTGATGTATTATCGTACAAAATAGCTGATTAAAGTGTTAAATATTTCATTACAGCTTATATTGTTTCTTTCTTCATTGTAATATCGAAAATAAAATATTCTGTCAACGACATTTTTAACTATGAAAATTAAAAACAAACGTTATGCTACACCTAATATCACATCCTTAGTAAAACTTACAGCGTATAACTTTATAAATATATTTCATTTACAAACGGTAACGATACACGTGCTGACGTTATTACATAATCCATTAGAACGAGATATTTAATATCACAGTAAAAACTTTCCCCGAATCAGCGGGAGATGACTTCCTAAATAGAGATATTAGCATTATGGACCAATTAAAACCAGGAAACTAAGTGATTACTGAATTACAGAATAAATACCGTTACCGAATACCATAATCAGTTTTAGAAACAGGTTACTGATTCTGTTATCTGTTGTTGTTTTCCTTCTCTATTTCCGAGTATTACGTTAATACAAAATTATGTGGGTATCATCTCATAATATATTATGTCCTTTGTCGTCACTTATTTATGACAGAAAGAGATGTGGTAATATTTCGTCTCGTAAATAGGCTTTATTACACAAGTACTTAAATGAATAGCAAAACTGCAAAAGCAAGCCAAATTTATTTTGTATGACTCAAACTTGTCCAATAATATTCTGCATCGACTGTCTGTTTTCGATCTTTCTGTTTGATCTTTATTTGTATTTCTATAAAAAGTCAAAGTTTTATGGCTTAATATCCAAACAAACGTTCCCATATGATGTCAATCCTGTTATTACCCTTTAGATATATCATAAATCATCGTTGTCCAGATGTAGAGAATTAGCGGGACGCGCGATCGCGACGAGATATTCTCTAAAAATAATAAAAAATACCTCACACGAACCCAATCAACCATTATTATATGACACAAGGATGAGGGCAGATTCTATTAATTTATAACCAATGTGGGTGGATAAACTGGCATTATTTTTTTTATAGATCGCGGAACGTGGACGCGAATAACTGTAATTTTGTTGTTTTTATTAAGACGTCGTCCGCGTAAATGTAAGGGCATGTAACTCTTACACGTATCGATGTTAATAAAATAATACATATGTAATAGACGTTATTAGATACTAAAGTTTGTAAAATACGTTTTAGGTACCAGGAACAGGCAGCTGTTCGAGCAGTGAAAAATAAACCGGATGTCCATTACCATTCCAGAGGCAACTGTCATGCTAACCAGTTTAAACAAGAGCTACAAGTGGTGGAATTATGTGATATGATAAAATTATCTAAAAATTAAATAAATTATCTATATTATGATACTTCGACGAGGACCTAAAAGCTTCTACTTTAAATCCAAAAGCATTAACTCTTCTGAACTGATATGTGATGCCGGATATTCTTTTCTAAGAATACCAAGCAACTAAAAGTAATTTAGATGTCTTCGTAAATTATATTTCTTTTTTGTTAGACCTTTTGACAAATTCACTTGTAGCTTCACATGTGAGAGCGACCGTGTTATCTACTGTTTTTATAAAAAATGTTATTGTTTTGATAAAAAATGACATGCCACACAAACATCTGATAATAGGCGTGGGCGGGGTCGCAACAAAAGAGAATTGGTTAGCACCAACAAACAACAATACACGATAAAGTTTTGATTCGGGTGTAAAATTAAGTTTTCTAACATCGGCCTTCCATTGTCTGTTTGCTTGTTTTTTCATGTCATACCATTAACACAATGAAATTGTTGTTGTTTGTTATGTTTAACATTGTATAATATTTTTCGCTAATTGCTATTGTTATTTTGAAAAAAATATACCAATAATCATAAGAACACGATCACTATTGTTACTTTCTTTAGTACTT